ACTGATTACAATCCCTAGTGGGGACTTAGATGATGAATTTAAGAATAGAATCTCAAAAGCTAGCATAAATATATGCAAAAATATTGCATGTTAGATTACATTAGACTTGTATAGGCAGCTTAAATCTTGATTATATTATAAAATACACTATTAATGCAGCTCTGAAGCACGGTCTCCTATATACATGCCTTTGGAGATTACTTATACGTATAATAATTATTTCTTGTAATAAACAAAATACAATTCATTTAAATTTAAACAATCTTATATATATATATATATATAACATTTTCAATGTCAGAGCCAAACCAATAATAGCCTATAATTAAAAAGAGAAAGTTAAGTATATATATAGAGAGATAATAAGAAAGGAGTAATTAGATATACAATTTTTGTTTTGTTTTGGATATATATATATATATAAAAGGAAGTTCAAGGAGGGAGATGAAGGGAAATCAAATCTTTGAACCTTATCCCTCCTAATAAGAAGTAAAAATCGTTTCTAATTAAGATGTAATTCTTAATTAGAATAATATTAGATTGTGACGTGTGTGATACACATAATAAATTTATTTATTTCATATGTATATACATATATATTAGTATTCTTTTTAAAAGTATGTTTAAAATTTCAAATTTTATAATGTATAAAAAATTTCATATCTGATTAACTTTTCATAAAAAATAATTTTTTAAAAAAAGTAAATAAAAAATGACATATTTTCACTTTATAATATCTTTATTTGCAATAATATATGTACACCTAAGTTTTATATTAAATAAAAATAAATTACATGTCTTCCTTACAAGAACAAATACATATACATTATCAAATGAGGAATTAAATAATAAAAAAAGTATAAGCATACTTTGACTTTTGTAATCTTATTCAAATTACTATACAAAAAATGAAAAAACGTTAGGAGATGTGTGAAAGAAAAAAAAGAAAAATAAATTAAGAAAAGATTAATTTTCATAAGAACAAACTTACAATAATAATAGAATATACCTTGAAAAAATAAATATACAAATCAAAAAATTAAATTGTAATAGCAATAGAATTCCAAAAAGTTGCAAATCAAAAATAAAAAGATGATATCACATTACATTTAAAATCTTTAATTTGTAGAAAAACTCTTGGATGACATTTGAAATTAAATAGATAATTTACAAATTGATATTTAAAAAAATAATAAGTGATAAAAATTAAATAAAAAATTTTGCCTATTTTTTAAATATAAAATTGATAATTAGAGTTGAGATGGATATAAGCTCTAATTTTTAGAGATCTAATATAAAAAGAATATTTGAATTTTTAATATTTTATGTAAATTTTTAAAAGATAATTTTTGTTTGATATAAATTAAGATAAAAAAAAAATGTAATGATTTTTTGAAAGATTGAGATAAACTTAATTTTTATAGTTTTAAAATATGTTGAAAGATTTTCATAATTAAATAATTTATAAAATAAGGTTATTTAGTGAAAAATTAAAATTATTTTGATAAAATCCATATTTCAAAATTTTAATTTTAAAAAATATATTTTTAAATTAATTTGATTTACAATTATAATTTGAATAATTTTGATATTTGTTCAATTTATAATTAAAAGAAGTTATACTTAAAAAAAAAAAAAAAAAACTATTCTACATGTCATATAAAAAATTATTCATATAAATATTCATGTGATAAATCTTATCAAATATTTTTATATGTTATATTGTTGTAATATAATAAAATATATAATTTATTATAAACTTTTTAAAAAATAACTACATTAGCTAGCTTTAAGTGTACTGTCCAAGGGGAATTGGGCCTAAGTCAGACTCCTCTCGGGGAGACATATTTCCTGAGTACATTATTTTATTAATAAAAAATACATTTGAAATTTAATTTTAAAATATAAAGTATATATATTAAATTTTATTTTGTTATTAATAAAGTAATACTTAAATGGATTGGCGAAGTCGACTCAGATTTTAATTTTATGAAAGGATTATCTGATGAGTCCCAATTCGATCCTCAGAATATTTTTATTAGCATTTTGAAATTTTAAACTTATAAACTAGTTAATATAATTAATAAGTTTCAATTTCATAAATCAAATTGAGTTGGATTATTTAGGAATTTTCAAATCGGAGTTTTGAAAGAATCATTCAAAATATTATTTAATTTTAATTTTAAAATATATTTAAAATTATTTAAATATAAATATAAAAATATATTTTTAATTTTTTTAATAATATCAGTCTTATTCAAATGCAATTGAATCAGAACTTGAACAACCTTTTTAAAAGATCTCTCTACCATTTGAATATAAAGAAAAAGGTCGAAAATTTGATATAATTACCTAAATGATCACATATCAATGATATAAACTCATTTATGAAAAGTATAAATAATACATCGACAATGTATATAGGATTAAAAAAATATAATAGCTCTTATTAGTTACAGACATATCCTTATTTGATAAACTATTGAAAATTTTCATTGCATTTAAAATGAAAATTTGTAATTTTTTTAATGTTTTTGATAATACATTTTAAAATTTACTTAAAATTTTTTAAATAAAAAAATTATTGAATAAGATAAGTAGGTAAAATCTACTGACCACTTATCTTTTATTTTTTAAATTATTGTTTCCTAAAAATACTATTTCACTATTTGCAATGAAAATAAAGATAAAAAATAAAATAATATATTTTCACAATTTAACATTTTACCGTTATTAAATAATATATATATAGAAGAAGAATTAATTTATATCAGTGTAAAATTTTTTAATTTTACATATTCTTGTAATAATTGATATCAATAAATTTAAATATGAAAGAGGTAAGTGAAAATAAAAAAAAATGATTTAATCCCATTTTTTGTATCTATTAAACCTAATGATTAGAAAATAATATAAAACTAAAAATTTTTATACTTACGTAATTTAAATCATTCTCATATATTTATATTCAATATTTAATTTTTAATAAAATATCAAATATTTTTTATAATTCAAATTTATTACATAGCAAATTTAATATTAAAAATTTAATACTTAAAATTTCAATTTATAGACAAAACCTTCGTCTCGACCACATCCTTCTCAACTAAACTAAAATGCTTGGCAAACGTAGCTAATGTTTGGGCCATTTAGCTGTAATTAGTTAGTGGAGCTATGGAAAAATACCTTTATTTATCTTCTGGCAGAGGGCTAGTAATGCCAACCCAATAGAAGAAAAATCGAACTGACGCTGTACCTCTATTAGCCGCGCCCCACGTGACCCGGGTCCCATTTTTTTTTTCCCAAGAATTACACCTAAATTACTTAGTTTGAAATGGATACAGTGCCAAAACCGAGAACAAGAAAACAGCATAAGCTATAATATTTGTAATATGGGATTTTCCCCGGTGAACAGTCAACTGATCATGTCCTGCAATACATTTTATGCATCTTGGGAATTCATGGCTTTCATCTTCAGATATTATTTCAAGTTTTAGCAATCACTATCCTTGAAAGGCTCCACCTTGCCCAACATTGTTCTTTCTTGAAGCCTCCAAAAAAAAAAAAAAGAAAAAAAATCATGCATTATTAAGTTTACAAAAATATTCATTCTATGGATAACATCCACTTGTACAAGAGGCTACCACTGTTTATTGAAACAGCTAATTTTGCTAACTTAGATAACGCTATGCAACCACTAAATTGTCTGGAATGTGGACAAATTTAGTTTTTGGCAAATAAAAATAGTTTTTAAAGAGAAATTATCAAATACATTTAATAATAGAGTTTTTAGATTTTACAAGTAAAATTAGTATAAATGAGATATATTCAAAAAATTAAAAATTAATTAAAAAAATATGTATCAATTTCTTAGCTTCATTTATAAAATTAAAAAAATTTATTGACAATAAATCAAATAAATTTTTTTTATTTATTAAAGAAAATGGTTTAGTCATAAAATACAAGAAATTGCCATTTCTTTCATTTATTATAATCCATCAATTATTTACACTCCACTTGATAGATAAGAAGAAAAAAATTTTATCTAATGATTGAATTACAAAATAACACATTTGATCTGAATTTCCACTTTCAACTATTAAATTAAGCATTTTCTATCGTTCCCTCCTTTTCTATCCTCCCTCCTAAACATAGTAGTCATTATTAATCTTCTTCTTAAAAATTCAATTTGAGACCCTTGTTAATTTGCATTCCAAAATGATCATAGTTAACCATCTAACAGAAATATCGATGGCTTGTTTAATTTGTAAGCTGTGTGGTTGTACCAAATTCTCCTCTCCATTAATTCTCCTTGTTATCAAAGTGTTAATTTTGACACCAAATGAATACTTCCATTTTTCAAAAACAGGAAATAAATTGCTCGAGATTTGATTGTAGCATATAATTTTCAAATCATCGATAAAATCACGCTAGCAAATACATTTTATTAACTATTTATCTTTTGTTTTTTTATTTTTACTTTTTCTTTTTGCTATTTATTCATTTATTAACTCTGTACTTTTTCCACCAAACTTCACTCGCTAATCAAATACAAATTGGAACACAATTGTACTGGTTTTCTTTTTATCCCACCAGTACCTCACATTTCTCACTTAGTATCTTTTAAGTTTTAATTAATAGTAGAGTTCGGTACAAAAAAATAGGATCATATCCATCTATCATTACTACTATTGTATAAACACCTTGGAAATCAAACTTTTTTTTTCCTCCATGAATGATTTCTTCATGATACTATTCCTAATCCCCCCTAGGAACCATTCTTGAAACTTAAAGTTACCCGAGGTAGCAAACTGCCAAACTTTTCCCAACCCCACTGCCTCTGCTGTCCGAACCCCACTTCTTTCTTCCTTTCTTTTGTCCCAACCACCATGCCCTACCACCACTGTCGCACCATAGCTTTATTTAATCATTAAAAAAAAGAAAGAAAGAAAAGCTTATCAACCCCCCCCCCCCCCCCCCCCCAATGATACCACATTTCTCGTCCGGACAACCTTTGCCCCTTCATCAATGTCTCTAAACTCCTCATTCTTTCTTTTCTTCATCTACCTCTTTTTCAACATTTTTTTATCTGTTTCCTTCACTGTATCCAATCCAGACCCAGAAAATGTTCAACCACTTCCTATAACAACATCACCTCCGGCAACAATCCCTGCATTTCCAGAACAATCAAATGTTGTTGGTTGTCCACTAGACCTACCTGAAGAACTGTTTCACGACATAAAAAGTGCATGTGGCACTAAGAAAAATAATGGGGTCAGAGGGCAGCTCCACCACAGCCGCTGCTGCCCTGTACTTGCGGCATGGCTTTATGCCGCCTACTCTGCCACTGCCCTTGGCAGGGCTGGCAGAGTAGCACCAGCAGTGGCAGGACATACCCCATCTTATGACATGCCACTGCTACCAGATGACTCGGAAACATGTGTTGATGATTTAGGAAAAGCTTTGAGACAGAATGGGATAGAGTTGGCTAAACCAAATGAGACATGTGATGTGGTATATTGCTACTGTGGCATCAGGCTACACCCATTGAGTTGCCCTGAGGCATTCTCAGTGAACAAAGAGGGGAACCTTGTTGGGGATGAGAATGTGGAGAGATTGGAAAGAAATTGCTTAAGTAGCAGCACTAATGTTAATGGATTTCCTGGTCTTGGAGGATGCAACAAGTGCTTGAAAAGTCTGCATTTGGTAAGTTTTCTAGCTTTCATTTTCCACTGAACTTGATCTAATTAGGTTTTTCTTCTCTTCTTCCTTGATTGGTAAGTTGGGGATTTTAGTTTCACTTTGGCTAATTGGTAAAGTAGTTTTCCCTTTCCTTCTCTTTAGATTATTTTATATGGCCACTACACACGCAGCTAAAAGGGTGAAATCTAATCTCAGCAAATGAAGAATCCATGCCTATTTTACATTTCTTAAGAGTGAATTCTATCATTCTACGCCCCGGGGTGGAGATTAACCTTTATGGACGAGGCATTATACTGTTCATCAGCATTGATTACAGAAATGAACACCAGATCAATTTTTTCGCATTATTTTAGGATTGTTCAAACATTAATGTAGTTCTAAGAGTTCATACTAATTAAGCCAATGGGTACAAAAGATGAAAACAATGTATATTGTTGGATTAGCTTATTAATCAACTTTCTTTTTATATGTACTGTTATTAATTGAAGCCATCATAATCTGAGATTATTTGTTGGAGTTTGGCAATATATCAAAATTCCAAATGCATCCAAAGATTTTTGTCGGTATTGATTGCAATTATGACCAAGTGGCATGGATGGGCAGGGTGTGGTAAAGATCTTAGGTTTGAATCCTAGTGCTCCCTCTTTTAATTAAAAAAAAAAAAAAAAAAAAAAACAGAAGAAATTATTGATAGTACTAATACAGTTTCTTAAACTGTGTAGAAACAATATTTTTCACAAGATTAATAGCCTTTTGATGTTAAATTTGAGTTGGTTTGATTCTTTTAAACAGTTTGTAGAGTTGCTGGCTAGCAAGGGCTCAAAGGGGAAGCTTAGAAATTGATTTTTAATTAGATGTTGTACCAACTAATTAATTAGTTGTTCAAAACCTACACCAAACTTGTCTTAATTTAAAGGGCAACAAAGTGCACTGTTTCAGTATTTCTCTTGTAACGGACAATAATTTTGATGCAGCTCAACAAGAAGAATACTTGGAATTCAAGCAACTCAGAGGAGAGGACCACCAAAATGCGCAACAAAGATTGCCAGCTGATGGGTCTCACATGGCTTCTCGCAAAGAATCGAACTGCTTACGTTCGAACAGTTTCTGCAGTTTTACGAGCGATTATGACGAGCAAAGATGGTTCCAACCCTTCATCCTGCACTCTAAACAGCGATGGAATGCCACTAGCTGTTGATTCTTCTGAAATATCTGATCAGTCCTCATCGGTTACCCTCAATCTATCCCAACTTTTATCACTTTACTTTTTGCTCATCCACCTGCTTGTATTATCATACAAGTTTAATTAAAGGCATTAACATGGCTTGTTGACATTGTTAAATTCTTTCTTCTTTCTGGTAGTTTGCGTATTGTTAGAACTGTGATTATTATGGGCTTTTCCATGAATAGCGGGTCCAAAATTTGTGCAAGTATTTAATGTGGGCCTTCTTACCATGTGCCTGACTCAGCGCTGCCTTGTCTTGAAAGGACAAGTTTTGGGCAAAAATGATCATCAATTTGGTGGCATTGTTTGCGGGAAATTCTAATGGACAGTAATGTTATTCACGAGAAATACGTGAATTGTCAACATCTCCCGACAGAAAAAGCTGTTGAAGATGTGGATGCCATGCCAAGCTGGGTTTCTTAAATTTCATTTTCCCCATTCCAAAAGAATACAAAATCATCATTCTCTCACGGTTATTATCTTTTTATAACCAAGCTTTGGTCTCGCATTATGTTTTAATTATGTTGTTACTCAATTTTAAGTGAATGTCAAGGGGTTCCAAATTCCAAATCCAGGATTGGAATTGTTTTCTTCCCCTTGTAACTTTTTTTTTTTTTTCTTTTAAACCTTTTTTAATAAAGAGAATCCTATCTTGAATTTAAAACTCTTATCAAAATCTTACTCTATCTAAAAGCGTCTTGAACATGTTCATTATTTTTTTCCATTTGCTCTCTATTATTTTATTTATTTATTTATTTTTATTAAAAACAAAAAAAATACAAAAAATATCGACCAAATGGAATTTTAATATACTTTGCAGAATTTCAAATTAACAACGGATAGAAATTCATAAAACAATTGAAATACCAAGCTTTCTTATAGTACAAATATGATTTCCAATATTTTCAGTGGGAGCAACTTTCAAACTCATCGGAGTTTTGAAGAAATACAAGGTATAAATTCCAACTACTGAATCCTCAAGCTCTTAGCTTAGTGATTAAAATGCTTAATTGTAATATAAATGATTTGGTTTCAAACCAAGTTCTTCCCTTCCTAATGTATGATGTGAATAAAAAAAGAACAATACAATTTTCTATTTTGATTAAATCTAACAAAAATTTTGATTAAATCTAACAAAAATTTTGATTCACTTGATCTTAAACACAATTATATATATGAGAAAAAGTGGAATCCATAACAAAGCAATGCATATCTTTTATAGTTTATGCATTTTTTTTTTTAATCAATTGTAACGTTTTAATGTGAAAAAGAAAAAAAGGTTATGTAAACTTAAGAATGATATATTAAACCGTAATAAAAGATAAGTTTTATATTATTTTTTGAAAAATAAATATATTATTAATAGAGAAGAACAGAGTAATGGAAAAGTGTTTGACAAAAAAAATTAATAAAGAACCGAGTTACAACCAAAGCCGCAAAATCAAAATTATGATGAAACCTAGGGAGTCCGCAAAATGACTTGCTTCCCTGTAAACGTCAATAAAATGGGCCAACCAAATAGTTATATGGGTTCAAGAAAATGGAGCGAGTAAAATGGGCTGAAAGAAATGATATGGCTTTACTCATCTGTGTTGAAAAAATGGATCGAGTAAATTAAGTTCAATATTAGTTATAGGTTTAATAAATTTTTAGTTACTTATTATTATATCATATAATAATAATGAAATTAGTTATTACTTTCAATCTAATTTTTAATTTACAGATTTAAATTTATCTTTATATATAATATAATAAAAGTAGTAATAATAATAATAGAAACACTAAAATTAGCTTATGTATTGCAATGTAAATTGTATATTTGAGACTTAAATTAAATTTAATTAATTCGAATATAATATTACATATTACATGTTGTAAATATTAATAAATAGTAAATTTTTTAAAATTAAAAAAATTAATTGGGGTGATGTCATTCGTCAATAGGATAAAATTATAAAATAGATTAATTACACTTTAAAGAGATTTTAAATTACAATTAATCGTGTTAAGTTTAAAATATTTCAGGGAATAAACAATAAAATTGTTTGAATTTTAAATTTAAAATTATCATTAAATATTACTATTTTTTATACATTATATTAAAATTATACTAATCATGGTTTCATTTACTACCACAGGGCATTCATGAATATTTAATAATTTTTATATTATATTATATTTTAAGTTACATGAATCTAATTATTCACAAATTTAATTATTCTTGAATCTATGGCATCCATGAATCTAATTAATTATAGATGAATGTATATATATATATATATATATATTGTATTTGAGAATATTAGGTATTGAATCCTTATCATTGAAATTAAAAGTCCATTATTTTATTAACAAATTATGTGATCGTTGGATTGGATGAATGTAATTAATGTTTAATGTCATTTTAAGTTTAATATTTTTAGTTTAGATTCATATATATTGAGCAGTATAAATATTTATGAATCAAATATAAATTGTTATCATCAATATATGCTTTTTTGGTGTAATTATTTAAATTTTTTATACATAAATATAAATTATGAATATACTTTCTATATATTTAAAAGTTCAATTTTAGTTTTAATTTTTTTTTTTATATTTACGTACTTTGTAAAAGTATAAATTATTAATTTTGAATCATTAAAAATTTATTTCTAGTTTATATATCAAAAGTTCAAACTAAATGACTTTGTCGACATTATGTACTATTTTGTATTTTTGTTTTTACAAAATTTTCATTAAAAGTAACAAATTACTATTTTGGAGAATATATACTATTTGTTTATAATAAAATTTTTGTATATTTTCATTAAATATCTATTTTAAAATAACTTTTAACAAATAAAAAATAGGCTAGAGAATAAGAAAAGCTCTTGAACTATAATTAAAAGATTATTCAAATTCCTAAATTCTTAATTTTTTATTACAATTAATAAACCTTTTCAACATCAATTTACATCCAATTAAGCATTTTTTTGGATGAAAAATTAACACTGTTAAATTTTTTATTAATTAAGATAAAATTTCATGTGATATTAATAAAATGAATTAAAGTTTATCGTATTATGCAATTGATATATGTAAAACTTAAAAACAAAAACTTTTTTTTTTCTCTCACATTCTTTCTTTTTTTAAATATCTCTAAGAGTTTAATTGACTATAATTTAAAATTGATTGATTAAATTTTATCAATTGATTGTATTCCGCCTATTTAAAGGTTCAATTGAACCAAAATAAAAAATTAAAAGTTTCATTGATTGCAATAAAATATTTAAAACTTAAATAATTATTGAACTATAACTCAGGAGCATTTTTAATATTTTACCTAAAAAATACAACAAGTGAAGCGTTGGCAAAAATCTAGTAAACAAAAAAAAAAAAATCCCCACACTCACATATAAATTATACAAACTACTAAGAATATCGTTGTATGGATTTTTAAGCACTTTGTTTAACCACAAGATTATCGATTGGAGTCACTTTTAATTACGAAATCAGATAGCAAATTAACATTTGCTTCCACAATAATGGAAAGAGCTTCAAGAACAGCTATGAGTTCAGCGCATGTTTTCCAATAGTTGAACCGTCCGGATTGTTTTTCGGACATCCCTTGAGAAGGGAGAGGCTCAGAGGCCAAGAAATATTCTTCCTATTGGTTTTTTTAGAAGGTGGGGGGGGGGGGTGGGGAAGGATTAGGTGGGGAATAGACATTTTGAATATTTGTCAAATTAAGAATTCCAATTTTGAATATTAGGCTTTTGACCAACATCCAAGTTTAATGCCAATCAAAATGGAAAATCGGTAAAGTGAAAGTTCTCTGGTCCATCGTTTCATTGCACGCGAGCCAGAGAGACCACAAATTGCAGAGTTGTGTTTCCCAAATCAGCCTCTAATTCTTCTTAAGGCTATTTTAATATCGGTTATAAAAATTATAGATACTTAATTTTATTTAAATTAATTTAAATTTATTTGATTTTTATCTTTAATTTACATAATCTTATTTGAGTTGATTTAAGCATTAAATCGAATTGAATTAGTTCAAATTTAATTCGGATTAATTATTTTTAATTATTATTATTATTATATATTTTTATTTACAATTAATCAAATTAATTAAAATTAAATTAAAAAAATAAAAAAAATAAAAATCATGCTGGCAATTCAGGCCATATAAGGCTAATATTTTCAGGCACTACCTTGCAATTAGGAGCTTGAGCTTAACTACCTTAGAATTTTTGTCAATTATGGAGATTTACAAATTAAAAAGACTAAAGGGAAAACACTAAAGGAGAGGGGGGGGAGGTTCCAACATCCATTCTTTTCCTGCAAGTGTCATGGGTCGAAACTCAAGTTTTGAACTCGTGCGTCTTCGAGACCCGAGCATTCACCCTTCCGACGTCCCAGATCAGCCTTCCTGCCACGGTTCATACCCTTGTGAGGTATTGTCCACTCTGGCCTCTATGGCCTCACGATTTTGTCCTACAAAAGACGCCTCACAAAGCGGAGGTGGTGTGAACCCTTTTATACCCCAGTGACCCTCTTATTATGTTCGATGTGGGATTCAGGACTCTTTTTTAAGTCCGTGACATTCTCCCGCACCCAACCTCGTGACGCCCTCGTCACGGAGGCTGACCACCCTGTCTACCTCCCTCGAGGTACTTAGCGTGGATCGAACGGTTTAGGTGGGGAATAGACATTTTGAATATTTGTCAAATTAAGAATTCCAATTTTGAATATTAGGCTTTTGACCAACATCCAAGTTTAATGCCAATCAAAATGGAAAATCGGTAAAGTGAAAGTTCTCTGGTCCATCGTTTCATTGCACGCGAGCCAGAGAGACCACAAATTGCAGAGTTGTGTTTCCCAAATCAGCCTCTAATTCTTCTTAAGGCTATTTTAATATCGGTTATAAAAATTATAGATACTTAATTTTATTTAAATTAATTTAAATTTATTTGATTTTTATCTTTAATTTACATAATCTTATTTGAGTTGATTTAAGCATTAAATCGAATTGAATTAGTTCAAATTTAATTCGGATTAATTATTTTTAATTATTATTATTATTATATATTTTTATTTACAATTAATCAAATTAATTAAAATTAAATTAAAAAAATAAAAAAAATAAAAATCATGCTGGCAATTCAGGCCATATAAGGCTAATATTTTCAGGCACTACCTTGCAATTAGGAGCTTGAGCTTAACTACCTTAGAATTTTTGTCAATTATGGAGATTTACAAATTAAAAAGACTAAAGGGAAAACACTAAAGGAGAGGGGGGGGGAGGTTCCAACATCCATTCTTTTCCTGCAAGTGTCATGGGTCGAAACTCAAGTTTTGAACTCGTGCGTCTTCGAGACCCGAGCATTCACCCTTCCGACGTCCCAGATCAGCCTTCCTACCACGGTTCATACCCTTGTGAGGTATTGTCCACTCTGGCCTCTATGGCCTCACGATTTTGTCCTACAAAAGACGCCTCACAAAGCGGAGGTGGTGTGAACCCTTTTATACCCCAGTGACCCTCTTATTATGTTCGATGTGGGATTCAGGACTCTTTTTTAAGTCCGTGAC